ACACCCGTGCCATTGGAGCTTCCAAGCTTCGACCGCTTCCGGAGTCAAGCTGCCCAATGGGTCTCTGGGTCCACGCGGGAACCCTAAGCCCTAAACCCTAAACCCTAAACCCTAAGCCCTAAATCCCTAATCCCTAAACCCTAAACCCGGGTAAGCCCTAAGAAGCCTGCAGAGGCCGGTCGCGCCCCGCGCCCGGCGCCAGGTCCGGGGGCTTTCTTCCACTGCCTGGGATTGCTGGATTGGAGTCTTCTAAAAGTTTAAGGCTTTAGGGTTCCTTTAAAAGGGTTCCTTTAAAAGGGATACTATAGGGGGTACTATAAGGATTGCTGGATTGGAGTCTCCCAAAGGGTTTAGAGCTTTAAGGTTCCTTTAAACGGCTTAGGGTTTAGGGCTTTAAGGTTTAGGGTTTAGGGTTTGGAGTCTTCTAAAGGTTTAGGGCTTTAAGGTTCCTGTAAGGGTTCTTTTAAAAGGGTTACTATAGGGGCTAGTATAAGGATTGTGGACTGGAGTCTGGTAAAGGTTTAGGGTTTCAGGGCTCCTTTAAGGGTTTAGGGTTTCGGGTTTTAGGGTTCCCTTATGGGTTTAGGGTTTAGGGTTTTAGGGTTCAGGGTCTGGGGTTTTAGGGTTGCTTTAAGGGTTTAAGGTTTAGGGTTTTTCGGCTCAGGGTTTAGGGTTTGAGGGATCCTTAAAGGGTTTAGGGTTTAGGGGTTTAGGGTTCCTTAAAGGGTTTAGGGTTTAGGGTTTAAGGGTTCAGGGTTTAGGGTTTTAGGGTTCCTTTAAGGGTTTAGGGTTTAGGGTTTTAGGGTTTCAGGGTTCCTTTAGGGGCTTAGGGTTTTAAGGTTCCTTTAAAGGGTTTAGGTTTGGGTTTACATAGGGTTTTAAGGTTCTTTTACGGGTTGAGGATTGAAGTTGCATGACCAGGGCTTGGGGTCTTTGGCGTTGGCTTTGTTCAAGGATTTGGGAATGCCTGAGGCCACATGTGCTCATAATATAGCATATACTTAGCCTTTAAGAAGGGTTGCTTTATAGGTACTGAACCTACGCGTATGTACTATTTTTGGTACATGGAGCCTTAGGTAATACAGGATTCGAGGTTTAAAGGGTCTCGGTAAAGTTTTAGGGCTGTGTTTTGTGTTCAGTGGTTTGTGTGTTCGGGGTTTTTGGGGTTACAAGTTACGTCGACGACTTTCGGTTGGGATTTTTGGCGTTCAGTTTGGGCTATATAGGGGCATCCAATAACTCGAACGGCTTATGAGGAAAAACCCTAAACCCTATAAGCCCTAAACCCTCAACCCTAAACCCTAGAACCACTGCAGCTGTGCCGCAGCTTCCCGGGCGTGTTGAAAGTATTCAGCCTGCCAGGTTGCGAGGCTTAGAGTTCCAATTCTCAGCTGGTAAACCCAAAGGCTCCTATAGTATATACTTAGGCCGTAAACGGGGTTCCTATATAAGTGCTTGAAGGCCTATGTATATAAGGGGTTCCTATATAAGTGCTTTAAGGCCGAGGTATGTACCACATAGGTACAGGGAACCTTAGGGAAAGACCTGAGGGCTAAGCCTCAGGGCTGTCATAACCCTTACCCTCAAAGGACTCACCTTTTGAGGCTATTGGGCCCAAAGACCCTATTACAGTATTACAACGGTTTTTGGGCTATTTTGATGCGAAGGGTGGGGCTTCAGGGATTTCAAATCTTTGGATTTACTTATACGTCATAAGAACTTTCTCTTCATGAAATGGGCCTTCATCTACTGCCATGGCGGCATACAGCTCCAGACATAGTATGGACTAGGGGTTCCGAACACTGCCACGTTTACTGGCAGTCGCAGCGGTCACATGCAGTCCACAAGCCAACGATTGAATGAAGGGCGAAAAGAATGCTGAGCTTGAGCTGCAATGGGGATTTAGGGTTTACCTAAACGGTCATACCCTACCCCTTTTTTAAGGTACCTAGTTTCATGGCTAGGATCTGTTATATAAAAAAGTAGGTCCCTAAGACAAAGGGTAGGGTATTACCCTATAGGTAGAGCGTAACGAAGGGTTTAAGGGTTCAAGAAGGTACTGGCAATCATAGACTCTTTTTTGGACAACAGCAAGACTGCTACACTTCCAAGACTCCAATCCCTCGCGCTATCAGGTTGATGTAGGGGCCTAAACTATTCCGGTGGTTCCTTGTTATAATTTGCATACTTATGGTATAATGTGCCCCAAACCCTATTCTAATGATTACGGCCCCTGTGTTAGTTCCCGACACTTCGGGACCCCGAATCTTCCACAAGCGGGATGCTTGTCCATCCTCTTGACTCTCCCCAGGGCTCCAATTGCTTAAATCGCAGGTTACTGGGGTACAAAAATATATGCTTAGTAACCTACGTACTATTCAGGTATAGGTCTTGAGGTTATATATACACTTTGGCCGTCAAGTAGTCCCTAGACAGGTACTTCTGGGCCAAAGTACATTTCACTGTTTGGGCACATATACCCTTAGGGCTTAGGCCAAAACCCTACCTTCTTAAGGAACTATCAAGAGAAGCCAACAAGAAGAACCCTAAAAAGGTAGGTCGTTTCGGCTACAGGTAGGGCTTAGGGTTTAGGGTCGTGGATTTAGGATTTAAATAAGGGGCTGAAATAATTGGAATAAGGTTTGGGGCTCCTCTATAGTAAAATTACAATAAGGAACCCCAAAACACTATAGATACTGATACTTCTTGAGGCCCCTACATTAGAACCCTACATATGTCGACCTAGGTGCCGAAAACAAAACAAACAAATTCAGCTCTCGCGCTCCTGAGCTCCCCAAACGCCTGATATAGGTTTAGGGTTTAGGGTTTAGAGTTTAGGGTGTAGGGATTTATAGGAAACTGATTAAGAAACCCGGGGTCTTTGTTTGGGTTCTTTATATGAATCCCACAAAAAGGCGTTGTAGGGCGAGGGAGTCTTGGCCAGGTCCTTACATGAGTTCGGGAGTAGGATGCAGGGATGTAGTGGGATGTAGGGGTATAGGGGTTTGGGGGCTTGGTGGTGTAGGTCAGTGTAATGTAGAGGCCTTAATCATTAGAATAGGGTTTTGAGGCCCATTCCACTTTAATGCTAATCAGGAACCCCCAAAATACTATAGGTATTTATTAGGGCCCCTATATTAGGTTTGGGGATTAGTGGTGGAGGGTTTAGGACTGAAGGGTTTGTGGGTTTGGGGCTCTGATTGCTTCTTCTGCTGCCCAAATTTCCACATACTGCGGCCCCAAGTTAATTGAAACTGCAGGTGGGGAGTTTAGAATATATAGGGCTTCTTTAAGGCTTCTATATGGCATGTAAACCGTCTATAAGGCTCCTACAACGGTAACTACCCACCTGAAAATGCCCTAGACTTTACTTCCTGGTATCCCTAAACCCTAAACCCTAAACCCTAAACCCTAAACCCGACCCGTGAACATCCGGAAATCCCA